CCTATTCCTTGTTTAGTGTATTGCATAGAATCAAAAACGAGATTAAGATCCTTATGTGGTTTATTAAATTTCTTCACCGTGTTTTCTAATTCAGCAACTTGTTCTTTCAAAGCTATGCAAGAGTCACAATGTTTTGTAGAGCTCTCGGGTTTGTCGGCGCTTCTTTTACCATAAAATTTGTTTTCAACTTTTAGTTTTTTGTTTTCCTTTTGAAGTTTTTCAAACTCAATTTCAAGATTAGAAAAACGTTTCTTTAAAGCTTTGTTGGTTTTAGAAGCGCTAACAAACTCGTCATAAAGCTCTTGGAGAGCTTCCTGCATTTCTTCAAAAGAATAAGAACCGGTAGAAGAAATACGTACCTCTTGGTTTTTGTTGTTGGCGGACTCCTCTTCTTCTTGAGCTATGAGACAAAGATTTTCTTCCTCTTCTTCCTCTTGTTCGCTTGATTCATCGCCGGAGTCTCCACCCCAGGAGATGTATGCTCTTTGCCTTTTGAAGTGCTGAGCATTCCTTCCGCTTTTCGGGCATTTGTTCTTGATGTGCCCGGCTTCACCACATCCATAGCACACAGGGCCATCCTCAACCTTCTCTTTCTTTCTTAAAAGTTTACAAAACTTCTTCATGACAAGCTTGACTTCATCATCGTCGCTTGAGTCATTCATCGTTGGTTCTTTGAAGGCTTTTAATGCTATGCCTTTCCTTTGGTCATTCAAAGACGGGTTAAGTATAGTAGATTCATAGGTTTTTAAGTTACCTCTTAAACCGTCGATGGTGACATTTGGTGTGCCGATTGACTCATAGATGGCATCGGCCTTAGATCGCCATTCGGATGTGAAGCTCCATAGGATCTTTCGTACAAGATCCCTGTCGGTGTTAGTATTCTTCAATGCATGAAGATCGTTGACTATCTTGGAAAATCGGTCGAACATGTCGTCGATCTTCTCGTGCTCCTTCATCCTGAACATGTACTTGGTCCGTTCCTTCATACGTCACCTCAAGTTTATCCCACATCTCCTTGGCGGTTGAGCAGCAGGAGATCTTGCGGTAGTCATCAGGATTTACGTCACAATAAAGCATATTTATTGCCTTTGCATAATTCTCGGCCTTTTTGATGTCCTCGGCATCAAACTCGTCTTCGGTCTTGGGGATCAACTTGTCGCCAACTTTCTTCATCGGCACCTCTTCCCCATTTTTGATAACCAACCATAATTGGAAGTTCGTGGAACGAATATAGATTCTCATTCGTTCTTTCCAATATGTATAATTGGTTCCATCAAAAAGAGGTGGTCGAGTGGTTGATTGCCCTTCACCTATTCCTGCATACAAATTTCTAGAACACGAACCCATGATCGCTTTTCTCTCAAACGGTTAAGTTTGGACGCGAGTTAGGCTCTGATACCAATTGTTAGAATAAGTAACCAACGCTAGAGGGGGGGGTGAATAGCGTTTGATCGTAGAAATCGCAGGAATAAAAAATTAAGAACGTGAAAAGTAAAGAGCGTAGAAAGCGTAAAGGGAGCACACCAAGATTTATACTGGTTCACCACAATGTGTGGCTAATCCAGTCTCCCGAGAGACTCTCTCGAGCTACACTACTTCCGTTAAGCTTACAGGTGCTTAACAAACCGTTACAACCTGAGAACTCGAGTCCCACGAGCCTCAACAACCTTGCTCGGAGATACCGCACTCCAAGACTTCAACCCGAAGGAAAATACCTTTCCTTCGTACAACCAAGGGAAACAAGCTTCC